CTTTTACTCTCAGTCTTACATGTCTGTGTTGAAAGTGTTTCTGCTTCCCTTAGCATGGAGTTGGGTCTTGCTTTAAATCCAATCTGATAGTTTTTGCCTTTTATTTGGAATGCCCAGTCCATTTATGCTTAATGTAATGAATTGGTTACGTTTGGATTTAATTCTGCCATTTTTTTATTTGTTTTCTGTTTGTTTGATCTGTTTTTTTTCCTCTTTCGTTAATTCTTTCCTGTCTTTTTTTGTACTAATTGAGTATTTTTGTAGTGCTGCAATTGAATTCCTCTACTGAGGATTCTCAAAAACTAGAGCACCTTGCAACAATGTCATTCTAGTCACTGTCTCTCCTTTTCACTGCTGTTTTTGACATTATGACATATTATGAACTTGGTAATAAGTTATTAATTTCAAATGACTTCTTCAGACTAGTCTCTATTTTCCCTTTCTTTGTCATTAATTTACGGATATGTCTTAACTGTGTCCTTAAAGCAGCTTCTGCCCTTCTTCAGAGTAACCCACTTTGACTATACTCAGCACGATTTTATTTGCTTTGGTAGATCGCTAAATACTTTGGGCTCTGCTCAGGTAACGTTTGGGGGATGCGGAGAGCCTGTGCGGAGTGCTTCAGGCGGTGTCCCACAGCACGGCCCCCTCGCTGAGCAGGGCTGAGCTCTCGCCCCCTTCACCAGACTCATCAGCGACCCCTGTCGGTGGGTAAGTGCGGGCCGCTCGGCAGCTCTGGCCTGCAGCCTCCGTGAGCCGCAGGGCCCCATCGTGCCTTCTGGACTTGGGACTGTTTTGTCTTTCCAGTAACCGATAGGCGTATTTAGACATTGTGAAGATGAGGGCACCAAAAATCTCAAAAGCTCTGGTGCATATCAAGAAAGTGGCACACACCTTAACATTTGTAGCGAATGAGTGTCCCTAAAGTGAGAAGAGAAAGAACTATAGCTCTGAATTGTTGCCTTTACTGTTACTAGTCTGTAGTAATAGTTTGTTTTCAGATGTTTTATAATGTCTTGAATTATCTGATATGCAATTAATATTCTAGAAGAATTAAAACCTCCCTGATGGTACTAAATTTTTCCTTATTTTCTGTTGGAAAATAGTTTATTTGGCATTTAGGGAGTGCCTTAGAAAGCAATACGTCTACTTAGACATAATTTGGTGGACAGTGAATTTGTCTGGTGATCAGCCATCTGTTCAGCTTGAGCTCAGACCTGGCTGATGCTACATTCACTGCACTGTTCTCTCTGATTTCAGGTGCGTCAGGCTGCCTTCCAGGCCCTAGGCCCCTTTATTTCCACCTTTGCAATCTCCTCCAGGGCTGGCCTTTATATTCGAGAAGATGGTACCCTGAGCATCTGGCCAGTGGTTCAGGATTTGGACTCCAGTTTCACCTCCAGGTCACCCAGTGCAGACAGTTGTGGTGACACTTGCTCAGCCCAGTAAGCTCCAACCAGAATAATTGCCAGGATCCCTGCTGCCCCTTGTGCCTCCACCTAAAGATCTAGCAATTATCTTGTCTAGAGTTTTAGTAACAGTGACCTCTGGGCAAGATGGAATATTAGAGCTTTAACTATGTAAAGAAGCCAAAAATAATTGCAGTAATGATTTTAAAACATGGCTACTGGGTTATAAATAATGGAGCTACTGTGTCTCCTAAATTTAGATAAAATATTCATTGAGACTAGTGATTAAATAACCTATAAAGAAAAATTTCTCTTACTTTTTGATTAATAAAGTTCTTTGGATAATTTACACCGGGAGAAAGGGGAGTGTCCTGAATGAACTTCTGTGCCGTAGGATAGTGCGCGCTCACAAGGGAGGCACTCCCGACCTACCATTTGTATACCGTGTACTGCTTTTCTAGTAAATTCTGGTGATCAGTTTTAGATTTTTTTTCCTGTCTTTCCTCTGAGAATGATGGGTACGTACTAACCAGTCCATTTGAGGTAGTTTACAACCGTCTGTGCATTGTTAATATTCTATAGAGCATCTCGAGCGATACAAGTCCTTTTTAAGACTAGTCCATCCTTCCCCATCAAAATTCACTGAGTTCCTGCCATATGTCAGGCCTCTGTGCAGCGTTGGCCTCCTCAGTATTTACCAAGTGGCTAAGAGCTCGTGCTCACCAGCTTCTGCACCTTTTATTCTCTAATGCCTGCCCCCTGGTGGAGGTCTTAACGGGCAGTAAGTGCATGAAATCTTGCTGCTGAATGTGTGTCAGCAGAAGCCACGGCTAACTCACTACTTGATACAATGGAGGGATGGACTGAACGTCCATGTGACATTTTCAATGCACATAATACTCCCACTGAGGCAGAGGGGACTGATTGGACCTCTTATCCTGTTGTGCGGTCATTATCTTCTGGCACGAAAGGCTAGGAGGTTGGGTGGCCGGGTTGAGAGGAGAACTGGGCTTGCGAGGATGTGAATCCCATGTTTTTCCATTCTGCCTCCAGTCTATTGCATGGCACTAAAGGTTTCTTTCCTCAATATGCCCTAGTTCAACAAAGCTGCTGCAGACAGAGCCAAATCTACCCACGGAAGGCAAGTCACCTAAAACTGGCAATTTCCTGTATATTAGTAGTTCCTCCAATGGTCTAATGCCTTGGCTGGAGCTGAGGTGTCCAGGTTTTCTCCTGAGTCCAGGGCCTTCCCCAAGGCTTCCTGATATTAATGACCCCCCCCACCCCCCCACCAACAGCCACCCTGGACCAGATCCCTGGGCCTGCCCAGGGAGTCCTGAGGTCGCATTCAATAATTTCCTGCACTGGCAAACTCCTCTCCCTGACGTAAGCAAGGACTTAGAGCTGCTTCTGAGGCACGTAGGGCCGCAGGAAGGCTGCAGCAGACCTGAGACTGTGCGTAGCAGCTTTGTGGCCAGGAGTGAGATTCAAAAAGTCCTTGAGAGTTTGCAGAAGCACATGATGAATGTTCAAGGTAAATGCTGTCCGTGGTAATCGAAGAGAAGGGTATGTGTCTGGGTTGTATATCTCGGGCTTGGGGATTATTGCGTGTGTGGGGGTCTACTACCTCTCGCTGCGTGGTGTGCACACTGACAGGAGGGGCTTGTTCAGCCCACCGCAGCCGGAACATCAGGGCTTTGTCCATGCGGGCACCTGCAAGGGGCTGGTCTCCTTTTTTTTTGCAGCCGAGCAAGGTCTGCAGTCAGTTCCAATCTAAAAGCAGATCGTTCTTGGACACGTCCACAGCAGTGGAAATTTTATTAGCTCTTGGACACTGTTACATCATTTCCCACATTGTGTGCCCTTTCTAGTTATGAACAGCTGAGGCCGTTGCTCCTTTTGGAGCCTATTAACTGAGCCCTTAGCTAAACTTTAAGGTTTTTGTCTTTGTACAGTGAGGAAAAGCACAACAACTTCTTTGGGGTATTTTTTATTTTATGACTAGGGCTCCCACCAAGTGTCTGATCTGGGAGCCGGGCCTTGCAATCCATATCCATTATCACACCTCTTCTTTCTCTAAACAGCGCTATAGTTGTATGCTTCCTCTAGTTGGGGAAATTGGAAAAAACAACATTTGCTGCTGTTGCCGGGCAAAGATTTGTGAAGCTTTTAGGAAAGGAAATGTGAAAATCCAGTTAGCCCTGTGATTATTCTTTGTCTCTGAATTTATAAAGGAAATCAAGTCAATGTTTGCTGAAGGAATGAGCATATGTAACATATTGCTTCTAGTAGCTATAGACAGAGGTCTGTTTTTGGAAGACATTTTTCTAAAGCTGCATTAATCTCAATCCTGGGACCTGGGCTGGGTGCTGGGGCAGCAGTGACTGACGTGTGAGGCCCCTATGGTCTGGTTGAGGGCATTGTGTAAACAGCCACTGCCATAGGGTATGGAAAGGGCTGGGACGGGAGTGGGTGTGACATGCTGTGGGAGGACAGGGCAGGAAGCCGGCCATTCCTGGGGACAGAGGAAATGTCTGCGAGATGACCTTGCAGTGCAGGACATCTGACATGTGCTTTAAAGGCTAGCTAGGAATCCACCATCTAGAGAAGTTGAGGGATGAGTTTCAGAGAGTTCTTTCAGTTTCCTGGCTGTCTGTAAAATACTGCATATATATTTCAGGCATACCTAATTTCTTTGTAAGAAAGGACCCAGGGCTTTCATCAGAACTCAGAGGATCTGTGACCCCAAGAGATTCAGGAATAAATGACATGCTGGGTACTCATGAACTGGCTGTGTCTGGAAAGGTCACTCAGGCCCTTTGGAAGGGCCTGGCACAGTGCATTAAGGAGGTGGGACTTGGCCCTGGGCACAGTGGGGAGCCAGCTACAACTCTAAGCATTTTAATGAATCTTGGGGTCTGCTGAATTTAACTAGTAGAAGACAGGATTCAGGCAGTGCACACACACACACACACACACACACACACACACACACACACACATGGGAGGTTGGGGACATGGAAACATCAGTTTGTCTTTATGGAAAGGTATGTGAAGTATGCCATCCTTTACTGTTAGGAGGGCATCAGACAGATTCATGCTCACTCATGTGTATGTCGATGGATTCAGTTCTGTGTGTATGCGTGGTGTGTGTGTGTGTGTGTGTGTGTGTGTGTGTGTGTGTGTGGTGGAGAAGGCAGCCATCCTGCTTTATAAATGGGGTGCAGCACCCTCTCTGAGCCAGTGGACCTCCCAGACATTGATGTTCAGTAACAGTGTGTTGTTTTTCTGTGAAACATGATGAAGTCAGACTCTGATTTTCCTAATTGAGGCTTTTTGATTTCAGGTTTGATGCTCTGTGCACGGCTGGTGTTTAGTTGGAATAGTTAAAGTTAATGGCTGTAAATGCCACACCTCACCAAGAGCTGCTCTGGGACTCCGGCGTGTGCTTGCTGCAGGGACAGATGTGTGGAAGGCAGGGGCTGTGTAGCACACCGACATCCAGACTGTCTTGTTGTGAAATCTCCCTTAAAGTGGATCCCTACAAACCAAATAAAATTATTAAAAATCCTGAAACTTCTCTTCCTGCAGCTCAAGTTCAGGTGTTACCAGCTGCACTGAGAGCTGCCCAGCTGGGCTCTGTTTGCGGGCCAGAGCCCAAGTTCGCAGCCGGTCTGCGGGCAGCAGCCCCTCCAGAGGCCGGCCACGCCGCTGGCAGTCAGACGGCTCTGCGGCTTCATCGTTGGGGACCGAGCTCTCCGTGGCCAGGATATTACTGCACAGTGAGTATTTGCCCTCCCTCTCGGCCACTGAGGATGTGACAGAAATCACAAAGCTGCATTTTCTTTATTAATATATCCTGGCAGAGATGATAATGGCAGATTTAATTTTGTTCTTAAGGTCATGTTTTGGATAACTAGACAACCAATCAATCAAGTGATTGATAACTCTGATCCTCCTCCACAAAAACAAGGGTGGGGAGACCAAAAAGTGTCCTCTCTCTTCTCCAAAGATAACTAGACCTGATATTTTTGGTGGGGGTATGGGGGTGGGATGGGGAGATTAACAGCGTAAGTACTCTGTTTCCCTGCTAACTGATGGTTACAGCTTTTAATAATAGTGGGAGGTGAGTTCATGCAACTCTTAGACTTCGTAGTCGGCAGAGGCCCTAGAGATGGCCCATCCAGGCCTTGTGTCGTAGGTATTTGTTCAGCACACGGCTGCTCCAGGTGGGGTACCAGCAGGCTGTTTTTCAGAGGACAAATTTTGAGAAGCCTCCAGCTTACTAGTTTTCACTCTGCAGTCTGGAACCGCTTCCCCTGAGACTGGGGCTGTGCTCAGAGGCGAGGAGGGAGCCTGAGGCTTGCTTATTCCTTCCCGTCTCTCCAGGAGCTCTCCGGCGCACCTGTGGTTGGCGGCTCCCGTGCCTTCCTGGTTCCAAGCAAGCTATACTCAGGCCACTTGGAGCTGGGACGACTCCTAGGTCGGGGCCAGACTACAGCATCCGAATCAGGGTGGGGCTGTGGTCACGAAGCCACGTGTGTGCTGGACCCACCTCATTCCATGTGCCGTGGAGGACGCCTCTCCAAACACATGGTCTCCACAAGACCAGCTGTGTCTAAATTCACACAGTTTGTAATTTGAGTTTAGTGATTTAAAGCTGATTTATCACTCTCTTACCCCCAGTGCTCCCAGTCATGCAAAACAAAAGATTTATTTAAAAACTTTGAATGTAAAATGTTTAAGAGTTTGTTAAGTTTACCCTAGGTTAGAAAGAAATGAAACGAAGTGATAACCTGTTGTTCCGGTTTGTTTCAAAAAATCAGCATGAAAACTCATTTTACCCTTGTTACCTGGAGTGTGAAAGTAGAAGGGTGTGGCCAGATTTACTGTGGTGGAAGATGTGACAGGACTCGGGCCTTTCTGTCCTACACAGAAGGAGAGAGGAAGGGCAGCTTCCTCTAGGTGGCCTTTTGAACTAAGGATGTCACAGGGCTTGAGGAACCAGGCTTTGCTCCCGGGTGTGGGCTGCAAGGGCTCGAACTCACAGCCTGACCGTGGGTTCCAGTGGGATCCGTCTGGACGCTCCCAGCTGCAAAACAAAAGGAAGAGGGAACAAAAAATTCAAAGACCTGGAATCATTAGAATTCTCTCCTCTCACCCAGGACAGCAGGAGGGGGCTGAGGCCCTTCACCCCACCCTGCCCCGGCCACGGCTCTGCCGTCTCCGTGCCACCAACTAAGTCCCAGAATGCCCAGCAGAAGCGAGGGCCTGCTGCTGTCCCCGTGGCTCCTTAGAGTGCCAGCAGGTTTTCTGGGGAGATGATCTCACAATACCTTATTTATTTATTTCTATTTTATTGAGGTATCATTGGTATACAATCTTATGAAGGTTTCACATAAGCAACATGTGGTTACTATGTTCACCCATATTATCCAGTACCCCCACACCCCATTACAGTCACTGTCCATCAGCATAGGAAGATGCTATAGAGCCACTACTTGTCTTCTCTGTGCTGTGCTGCCCTCCCCGTGACCCCCCTACATCATGTGTGCTGATCGCAGTGCCCCTCAATCCCCGCCCCCTCCCTCTGTACCCCCCTCCCTCACCTCTCCCCTCTGGTAACTGCTATCCCTTCCTGGGGTCTTCTCTCAGTACCTCTTGGGATCGCCTTGACTTGTGCTGGTTTTCTTAAACCTGGCGTTAAGGGCTGTACATGACAAGGGCATGTAAGACTTTGGAACAAAGCTAATTCCTGGGAGAGGAATAGTGAATTATTAATTATTAATATATGTGAATTTATTATTGGGGAAATTGAGGTCTTAGGTTAACATACCAAAATATTTCTGTTTTATCATGTCCTCTATTAAACTAAGCAGCATGTTTCATTGAAAACCTTGGGAATTGAAGGTTCTGGTAGCATGCCTCAGAGCAAATGAAGCATCTATCGGTGTATTAATTGACTTCCCTGGATCATATATTGAGATGATCTGTCAGAATCCATTAAGCTGGTAGACAGTATGACATTTCCAGTGCAAGTAGGAAATCCATGTTATGGTTGAAGGAGAAGGTCAGGTCCATCTCAGTTAATGTTAATCAATGATCAGAGACCAGTATGTCACTGCTGAATGTTCTCGCTCATTTTAATTGTTAACCTAATATGAAAGCTCGTCAGCAAACATTAGAAGTGTTTGTACGTGTGGAAATCGAGAACAGTTTTCCAAGTCAGTCCTCCTTTATCAGCTACATATATTCAGTCATATTAAATGGGTCTTCCCCTCGCTTCTGCGTCCTCTCTCAGGTCGAGCATTGCTGCAGATCTCCAGTTCCTGAGAGTACCAGAGGTGCTTGCTTCACCATTTCTTGCAAACCTCACCCTGCCTCCTGGAGTGGTCAATGCCTTAAATGTGTGAATATTACTTAAGGCCATTGGTTAACCACCATGGGGTCCCTGGGACTTAAAGAACGGTTGATTGGGACTCAAGTTGTTGGGATTCACCAATGTTAGCCTGTCTTTTGACAGGGCCCCAGGCAGTCTTGAAATTAAAATGTGTAAAATCTATTTGCCTTGGCACTTACAATGATCAATTTATACACTATCATGTATACTGTGCAAATGTGCTTTTTGACATCAAGAGAGAGACCATTGACTTCAAGGGAAGCTCTGCTCTTTGTTTGTGGAAGTCATTTCTGACACTGAAAGAAGGTCCTTTGAAGGGGGAGTGATAGAACAGCGTCCTCCTCTGGAGTAAATTGGTAACATGCCCCATCAAGCCTGCAGGAGCCTGGCACACCCTGCAGTGGAGCCCATATGGAGACTGAGCAGAGGCACGACCCACCCCACATGAGAATTAATCTAAATTACAGGTTTGTTCCTAGAAAAGAAAAGCAACTTTACATTTTCTGGAAGTTAAATTTAAGAATGACCATTGGAGCCAAATATTTTTCTTCCATCAATATTAATGACATATCTCAGTTCATAATCTGTGTTGCTACTATTTCCTTTTTAACTTAATAAAGTACATTCTAAATAGTGTTTAATGTATTCTGAACCATCTAGAATAGTATTTTAAGAAAGCAAACCAAATATATGAAAAAAATTTGACATTTATACATTAATATTTAGTGTATTTATACATGTTATTTCACTTTTTTTGTCTGAAAAGTTTTTGACAGCCTCTTTTGTTGAGCCGCATTTGGCTTTGTTCTGTCTCGTGGACTGGCTTCTTCCGCTATGGAAGATCTCTTAAATTAAAAAAATTTTTTGTATCCTATTGCCTTGTAGAAATACAGGTAAGTGGGTGATGTCTAACGAAGGCCATATTCCATCTGTGGGAAAAAAGCAGTAATGAGTGGAGTGTAGGGGCTCAGGCCCCAGGTGCTGGGGCAGTTGTAAGAAAGGAGACCATGGTTTCCATTCTCCAGAGCCATATGCTAGCCAGACACCGCTGTTTGGACGGTTTGCTGTGGTCACAAATGTGGGCAGACTTTGAAAATATGGGGGGACCTTGCTTTAACTTCAGTCCGAGCTGAAAACTCAGCCCCTGCAGAACAGACGGAGCCAGAGCTTTAGGAAGGCCTTTGTTCCTCTCACATTTCCGCTTTGCTGGTCTTACCTCCAAATTCTAAAGTCCTTGTTTTTCATGAGCCTTCTCCTCCTGTCCTGCAAGCATAATGGTTTCCTTTCTCTCCCATTTCCCAGGATGTAATACCCCAGCCCCTGCTGGATCAGTATGTGTCCGTGACCCACCCGGCTTGAGCCCAGACTGTTGATACTGACGTAGCCAAACACCGTGCCTTCACTGGGGTGGCGCTCACCTGGGCAGGCAGAATTGGCACTGCCTGAAAGACACGTGTGAAATGCTGGCTTCCGGCGTGCAGGTAAAAGCATAGGGTGGGTCGTCTAATTCGGAAGACGAGGGAAAGAAGCTGCCACCAGGCTCGCTGACTTGCATTTTATGTGGCTGTGCTAGCTTGTTCACTGCTCTCTGGCGAAATCAAGCTTTCAGTGGCCAACACCTGGCAGTCTCAGTTGTGCTCCAGAAATGCCACCTGTGCCCTTGGTGACATTGGGTCATGCTTGCTTTTTGGGATTTGTTTGTGCTGTGCACCACCAGTGGAAGGTACGGTGGACCCTAGCCCCCTCCATTCACAAGCTGGTGGTGATTCTTGGGGACCAGTTATCGGCAGCTGACCTGGTGCCCATCTCCAATGGATTCTTAAAGGACCTGAATCAAGTACGAATAGGAGTTCTTAAACACTGTATGATTTTCTAAAGGTAGGAAGAAGGATTAAAAACAAAAAACAAATCTCCCTCTTCAAAATGAGATTTTTAAACCCTGGCTGTGTCAAGTGTCAGTGAAAAAAAATTAAACTGCCTAGAGTTCTTCAGTTGAAACATACCATCCAAAACCTAAAAGTGGGTAAGTATTTCTATGTTGTTCCTCCTAATCTCCCTGCCCCTTGGAGTCCTAATTCTGTGGAGGGTGGCAAACATGGAGCCTGGTACCCTCTGTGAGACAGCAGGAACCGAGGCCTCCGGATGGCATGTAGTCTGCCTAGGTCTGCCCTGGGGAAGAGCCTGGCTGACATCCAGTCTCAGTTCTGCATGAAGGGCTTTTCCTGCAAGATGTTGCTGCTTGCCTTTTTTAATTTCCAAAAGGAATGATGAGTTCAAAAATGACCAAGGGAAACTAATTACTCGCATCCGCACGTCCAGGAGCTGCCCTTGATGGACGCTCGCACGTGCTGCACCAGTTTACATTTTCCTCTTGTGGTGCAGGAGTGCGTGAGCATGCGGCTCCCTGGGAAGCAGCAGTGGTATTTATCTTCTGAACACACACAGCTAGATTTTTTAGGCAGGAAGTTTTGAAGGAAGGAAGAGCTACGGGGTCTTTAGAGATACATAAGCACATATATGACCAGGAGGACAAGTTGGATGCCTTCAGGGGTAGGTTTGAAGTCTGTTAACAGTAACATTAGTTCACAGCCACCCTGGGTAATGGGATGTGAGGACTTAGAGAAACGCACAGTTCTCGCCACTGACAAATGTATAAGCTGAAATACAATAAAACAGTATGTTTGGAATTGTTTTGTATTTTTATTTATGTATACATTAAAAAAATAGTTGCTCCATGAAGACAAGAGGAGGGAGTATATCAGCTTCAAGAATTTGTAGTGACGGATAACAACAGGAATTGGAGGTTTCGGTATGAACTAGCAGAGTAAGTAAAACCCGATTGGGGGTGTGAGAAGGCAAATTAGATGGAATAATTCTCAATTTCCCCACCTTATAATTGATTCTAAACTAGCAGTAATAGTGTTCTCTTGGATAAGGAGATTATGTTTTTATTAAGGGGATAAACTGAATTCCAAAGCTCTAAGCTACAAATACCAGCCTCTGGGGACACATTCATTTTCAGATGAAGACAGAGTGAGAGTCACTTTGGAATTACAGTGTTCTGCTGTTCTATAAGGCAATTTATTCGAACCAAATAAAAGATGAATCACCCACTCTTCAATATTTTCCTATTTATTGGAGCAGTTTTTGCCAAAGCTTTCTCGAACATTCTGAGTGTGGCCCTCTCTGTAGGGCACAGCATGGTTCGTGTACTTCATCTTCTGAAGAAGACTGTGCCAAAGCCGAGACACAAAAGGGTCCAGCCCAGATGAACTGCTGATTAAACAGAAACGCCCCCTCCTCTCAAGGTGGCGTGTGTGTACGTCATTTTGCGTGTGTGGGGAGTTAATTCCATCTTGTGCAGCAAAAGGAATGTGAAAGGCTTTAGTGATTTGCGTCACTTTACATAATTGTCCCTCCCGAGGCGGGTACTGTGCTTGCTGCGGCATGGCGTGGATTTGTTGTTGGTCGTGGTTTGGGTTTTAGTTTTCACCTTGCCGGGATTTATTTTGGTATCTTTACTTTTCATTTTTCTAGTCCCCAACTAGAAATCTCTCAAATAATGGTCTGCCCTGTAGAAATCCATCAAGCTTTTGCAGCTATTCAGGATATGATTTGGCCGATGCCAGGGGCAAACTAAAAGATTTTCTCTTTGCTGTGATCTTTAATCATTATGCTTAATTTGAGAGATGGAGATTTTAGTCATTATGGCATGTTCCCAGCCTGTATTCTGAGAACCCAGAAAAACAGGTCCACGTTTTCCATGAAAGCATCTCGCCCTCTAGCGGCCTGTGGGGGAACTCGGCGAGGTCTGTCTCGGGCCGGGCGGACCGCTTCCCTGGCTGGAGCCGGGGATGGGCACCGAGCCGGGGAGGGGACCGAGCCGTGGGTGGCCAGGGGCGGGGGCCGGGGTCGGCGAATGAGGCCGGTGGGGGTCGGGCTGACCCGCCACCCGGGAACGCGGCTGGCGCCAAGGGACCGGCGCCGGCCGAATCCGCTTCCCGGGGCCGGGCTTGAGGACCGGGCTTGGGACCAGGCAGGGGCCGGGCGGGCCGACCCGCTTCCCGGGACGGGTCGGGTCGGCCCGCGTCGCCCACAGCGTTATCTCTGAGCGCGGGCTGTCATACATCTTTGCGGTGGTTGTTGAAGCCAAAGCCACTGATATGAATTCTGTGCTCCCGTGCCCATGATATTGGTATCAGTTTTCTGAAAACAGTGCTTTTTGATATGAAAGTATTCACCGGCACTCCTGGCCTCTGGTTCTAACTTCCTTCCAATCTCTTTTTCATTTCCTTTCGTTGCCAGTGTGGAAGTAATGCCATTTATTTTCATACTCTTCTCCCCATCCCCATTTAGAAAATAGTGAAAGCTTTGGCAGTCGGTTTTCCCAGCCAGCCATCTAACGATTTTTTTTCCCTTGGAGTCAAAGAGCTAATGCCCCCAGTTCTGTCCAAGCGGACCTCGCTGGATGTAGAAGCTCGCGCGCAGTGCCGGAGCCGGCCAGCAAACGCGGACAATCTAATTTGCAAATTCAGGAACACTGCAGAGGCCCTGAAATCTCATTTGAGTGTTCACTTGATCTGTTGATCTTTGGAAACTTCAACGTTCTGGTTATTTTTATATTATCTGATTTTTAAAGTTTTATGTGCCTTCAAACTGATAACCTAAAACTGAAGTATTAAATCCTTACTCATAAATTTCTCAGCCTCTGTTTTACAAAGTTTAATTTATTTCCTTTCTGTTTGATTTATTTGGGTGTGTGAGATAAAGAATTAAGATTTTTTCCCCCCACTTCTCTTGGCAAAGCCATTTCACTCAGCTTTCTGCCTGTGGCAGCTCATAGACTAAAAGCCTTGCTCTGTTTTCATTGCTATTGATTTCTCAGGGTGGCTGTTTTTATCTATAAAATGAAAATGAGAGGAAAGAGAAACTAATAAGGTGTTTTTTACCGCCCCAAAACACTTTTTAAAAAAATTACAGACAGCTGATACTGATTTTGGAACTCTGTAATCCCAATGATGTCTATGATTATTTAGTTTAAAAGCTTTAAAAGTTTCTGAGGTTCGGTGGATCGCCTTCCAACCAGTAAGGAATCATGGCTCTTTTGTTTGTGATTTTTGGAAATATGAATGCTTATGTTTCTTTTATTTTATCTCCTTTATTTTTTCTGGGATTAATTTGTCTTTTTACCTATGAGACCAGCTTTAAAATTTTGACAGTAGGGACCACATGATAGTTTTTATCAATATGTAAGATAGCTTTTGTGCTTAAGCTGTATGCTTCAGTGATGAAAGTTGTGCATAAATCATTGCATATATGAAGCCCTTTAAAAAGTGGCTTAGTGTTTCTTTTAAACATGGATTAGGTTTACTCTACAGCATGGTTTTATAGTAGAGTAGTTAGTGGGCATAAAGTCCAGCACGGAAAATCTGATCCTCTTTTAAATGGCTTTATACCAGCTGAATACTGAGGAAAAAACCTCATCTGAAAATACTGATTTACTAAGGCACTCTGATGGTATTAACATTTTATAAAAATGACATGTTCTGAAAGGTAATGATTTAGTTATCATGGAAGGAGGCATTTCTAAAATTTGGAATCTTAAGATTAATAATGTATTTTTCTAATGGCAGTCCCTTTCTTAATTCCATTTTTATGAAAGGTTTTATTTGTAAAGGGTTTCATTTGTGTATGTGCATTGCCACATTTAAACATTTTTTTCCTCTGTGTTCTAATGATCACTGTGACAAAAATTACTTTCTGCCTTGCTTATAAATTCATTTTAAAGGTGGAAGTGTGCATAAAAATCTAGTTTCTGTGTGGAGCAGTATTCACAATTCAAATAGATGGCAGCATTTTAAATTTGCTCTTCTGATATTTTTCATAGGTTGTGGTGATTCTGCAGAAGTTCTATTCAAATAGTGAAAATGCCCTGGGTTTAAACCTCAGCAGTGAGCTCATCATGAGGGTCTGGCACTGTTCTAAGTGGGTCGGAGGGCAGGCACCAGGCGCCTTCATTTGTCAGGTCAGCATGGACTGGGGGGCATCTACTCTGGGCAGACGTTTGCCATGTGTTGATGATGTCAGGTGCTCCAGAGAAGAATCTCAGCCCTGGAGTACTAGCCAGGAACTTGGGGGTCAGTAGACCAAACCCCCTTACCTCACAGGGGATTTTGACCAACCCATTCAGGCAAGGGGACTTGCTCAGTTAGCCACCCTTACATACATTCGTCCTGTAGATACTGACCAAGAGCCTTCTGTGTGCCAGGCATCCTCTGCGTGCTAAAGAGAGTGAACAAGATCCTGCTCTCCCCACACCTTCCACCTGGTGAGGGGAGGCCGGGGCGCAGAGCTGCTCCTGTCCCGTCCTGTCCAGGGCTGTGTTCATCCCCGAACCCCACCTTAGCCACTGTCTTGGAGGGGAGCCAAGGTGAAGGACAGAGACTTTTCAGTCTGTCCAGTTCCTCAGGTCACCTCCTCTACTTAGTATCCTGGAAGAGAGGGTGCTATTTATGTTTGTCTGGGGGTGCTGGGTGCCATTTCTTCAATGCCTCTATGTGCCAGGCACCTCATCCTACCTCTAATGCTCAGTAATAAGATCTGCCGTGCATTGAACATTGGTAACCCCCGCATACGTTGGACCAGCTTTCATAGATGAAACAGTTGAAGCCCAGAGAGGTTAAGTAACTCAGGATCACACAGGAAGTGTAAAGTCGTGATATTTTTTCTACTAAAATCCTATTTTTTTGTTTTAACTTTTCTTCATGCACATTTTCAAGCATACACAAAGGAAGAGGGAATAGTATAGTGAATCTCCATAAATCCATCACCCAGCTTTGTTAGTACAGCAGTAAAGCTGTGATTGAACTCCACCTGACCCCAGGCCATAGAGACCCCTTTCTCACTCTCATTCCCTCCTCACCACTGGAGGACTCGCTAGCGCCCCCTGTTGGGCCGGAAGGGCACCACCGGAGTACTTTGGCCATGTGCTTTGGGAAGTGCAGTGGGTGGCAGAGTAAGTGCCAAATTCGCACACCACAGACTTCTGTTAAGAGGATCACTTTGTGGAGAAAAGGTAAATGAGGTAATTTTGCTTTTATTTTTAAATTCTTTATCTGAGACTTAGAAAACCCATGATCAAAACAAAGGAAAACAACTAATTTTGTTCAAGACAAATCAGTATTTTTGTGTGTGTGCTCTCACTAATTAATTATTAAAGATTTAGAAAACCCACAGTTACACAAACGAAAAGAAAGGTACTCAGCCAGGAGTACCTCCTGAAGGTCATATTGGCCAGTATTTAAGTGCAGCTCTGGGGAGAGGTCAGAAACTGGAGGTTCTGAGGGCTGACTTTGGAGTCAGAACCGTCTGGTTTGAAGCCCAGTTTTACTGTTACCCTGTTGAGTGGCTGTGGGCAAAGCGCCCTCTCTGCACTGCATTTTCATCTTCTGTGAAATAGGGGAGGAGTAAGCAGGCACCTGTCTCTCAGTGTGTCCCTGGGGCTTTACTGAGCAGATGCCTCCGAGTTGGCGTGGCGCCCGGTGCCTGGCAAACACCGGGTAGGGGTTGGGGCTTCGTTACCCTGCTGTGGGAAGAGCTCCTGGATTTACAGTGTGCACACCTGCTCAGAATCTCCACCCTGCCACTGCTTGTGGGTCATGAAACCCTTGTGTGTCACCACCACATTACACCAGAATTTCCTCACCTGCAAAACCAAGTTAATTACCTTTCCCAAGCAGCTGGGAGAATAGAAGGAGAGAATGCACGTGGGGCTCTTTGTCAGTAGAGAAGCAGTGGACAGATGCTAGTGGCTCTTACAGGAGCAGTGTTCCCAGGGCCGGGCACCAGATTTGGCTGTGGCCTGATAGGTATGGCCCTGCTCTCAGAGCCTCAGTTCTGGTGAGAAACAGCGGTGAGCCTTCTGAACTTTTATTGGTGGGCGCTATGCTAGACTCTGTGCAAAGTGGTCTGCCACCGCCACCACTTCCCCATTGCACAGATGAGGGAACTGAGGCCCAGAAAGGTGAAGCCGCTTCCCCAAGGCCATGAGGCTGGTCGGTGACCAAGTTAGTATTTGAATGGAGACCTGGCAGACTCAAATATAGCTTTCTCCACTAACTATTATACCACTTGTCTCCTAGTGCTTGGTAAGGAGTTACAAAATGTAAACTGTGTTTCTAACCAAATTCAGTGGTTGAGAGTTTAAAATTCAGGCTTGCACACCCACCCTCCCCAGACTAACAGATCCTGAAATCACCTCTTTTGAGTTACAGAAGTGTATGTTTTTAGAAAAACCATGCTTATCACCAGTTGAAAAATGTCAGTTCCTTGGCTGTGGCCTCCTTTCCATCTCAGGTGGTAGTGAGCGAGGGGTGCATCCCTGCAGACCAGTTTATTGAACATTTACTCCCCGACCTTTTAAGCCTCGCGTCAGATCCTGTGCCAAAAGTAAGGGTTTTGTTAGCCAAAGCTCTCAGGCAGATGCTGTTGGAAAAGGGTATGTGGACCATTTTGCTAAACTTACTTATTTTAAACTTCATCAGCAGCAACTGCACTTCCTCTTTAGGAAATGGTGGCAGGTAGTGTGATAGCATACTTCAGATTTATTATATAAATTGATATATTCACTTGTGTGCATAACATTTTGTTATTTATAAAATGATAAAGAAATGAATGTAGTCCAGTTTTTACATTTAATAAACATATGCTAAAAGGCAAAACACTACAGTCTTTCAGAAGTGAGGGAAACTTCTGTAAATTTTGAGATAGGACATAGAGGTTATAAAATGCTGCAAATTTAAGCCTTAGCTATGATTAGGTTTAATGGTATTGTAGTCAGTAAAAAAAACATTTCTAGCCCAACCTAGTCAGTTAGTTTAAACCTGAACAAGACTTAGTGTAAGACTGTGCCCCTGGGAGAGTTCCCCGCACACTGCCCATTAGGAGAGCATCCCGAACCCAGCCTCCTCTCTCTCTCTCTCTTGCCACCTCCCTCCCCTCGCCGCCCTGCCCTGCCTGCGCCCTGCCCCCTCTCCTCTGTTCCTCACTTCGCCAAGTCTTTTGTATTGGAGGGGCATTAAAAGGTGTTTAGTTATAATTCTAAAACTGTGCATACCTATTCTTGGGAGTTCCTCTTTAAAATTTAGGAAATACTCTTTTATTAAAGCAATTTTATAATTTTAAAGGACTTATGTATATGATTATTCTATGAAAGTGATTATTGCCCTGAGATGTGGTTTTAAAAAAACTCCCAAACCAGAGTATGTTTTAGAACACACTTCATGGCACAGGTGATTCAAACTCACATTTTCTCTCTTTAACATATTTTAGAAATGCTGGTAACCCTCATCTTGGAGTCGTCGAAGAGACCGTCTTAGCTTTGCAGTCACACCGGAACCAAGATGTTTCCTTTTTTGCCACCCTAGAACCACAGCGGCGGCATGTGATGGGCTCTGCTGTGCTGGGAAAACAGCACTGCCCGCTGGGTGGCCACTCACATTCTGGCCATCTCCTGCAGGGCACATGCTGCTCACCATAACTTCGAGGGGACCTGGTTGTATTGTACCTGCTGAGGGAGGAGAGATTTCTGAAACTCTGGTGCTGTGCACTCAAACAACCCCTTTCCCATCTGCATGCACCGGGGCTTTGCTGCGCTGGGGGCTAGTTCCCAGTGGCCGGGCCGCGCCACGCTTCCGTGCCCCTACCTGCCCGATCAGGAAGTCTGTGAAAAAGTTGTGGAACCTGGTGGCTAACTGGATAGGAGGGTCTCCATAGCATCGGGTTGTCTGTGAGCGGTTTGTTTTCTTCATTATGGAGTATATTATTTAAAGCCACCCCTCCCCCAGATACAGTAGTTTGTTTATTAGAAGCTTTTAGGTCTTTAATGGACTTGCATAATTGGCTTCCCTTATGCTTTCCTATAAAATATGGTTTATAGTATTTTATTTTTAACTGAAGTACTGTACGTATGTAAATAAATAACTCTTGACAGGAAGATAACATATTAATGTAATATTAGCTTCCTATCAGTGAACAGAATAAATACATCATTTAAATTTATGCTCCACTTTGAGTTGCTGCAAATATAGCCCAATTTGTTTACTTTTGAAAAATGTGATAAATCTACTAAAGAATGATTTCTGGCAGTCTTTAAACATTGTACTTTTATTATAAACTGTACTTGGAACTTTCCCTGAAGCACTCAGCCCTCCCCTTCTTGCAGGAGCTGTATCCATAAGTTTATGTGTTGGCCTCTTCAGAGGCATAGAACTCAGGAGGGCAATTGATCATTAAGATATATGGATATTAACTTTATATCTAATGCTTTAGAATTAACACAAAAAATAGTTCTGATGAGTCCATATACTTGCCCACAAATACCGGTGATTTGGGGAGTTAAGTTATGATACTCTTCAACCTGATTAGACAGAACTTAGATTTCCTGCTTTTAAAATTCAGAGAAAGATGCTATAGAATTCAAACAATTTTTTTATTCATTAGTAATTCAAGGGTTTATCGACCTTTGGTTAAATTCTGCATGCATGTATGCGCACGTTATTTTTCTTGTTTCTATCTTTATTTTCTCAAAGGCATAAGGGAAGGAAGGAGCAGCTAATCTGAGGCCATGAGTGCAAAGGGTGTTTATCGGCCATTTCCATTTTTTCTTTGGATCTTTTCTTTGTCTTTCTTTCTCTCTCTCTTTTTTAAATAAAATTTCTGGAGCTATATATTGAATTTCCTGGTATACAGGATGTTCTCCCCCTCCTCCAAATACCACTGAGCTGATTTTTAAAAAGACAGGAAGGAATCTACACTGTGCCAAAAAAAATAAGATACATTTGGGAGAAAGTCACACTGTAGCCAGGGTAACATTGTGACACCTTCAGCAAAGAGTGAGTTAATAAATTGGAGATGACTTATTAAGAAAAAAACTAAATCAATCCATCTTTTGTTCATTACATGCCTAAAATAGATAGACGGAGATACTGTTTGGCTTCAGTAACAAGCAATTTTTAATTTTTTTTATGGCCTAGAAATTGAGATTGTCAGGTTGTTAAAGTCTGTTGATCTAGCAGCAAGTAGATAATTCAGCTGGACTCTTCTGTGCAGAGCTTAATTTTCTATTAAGAAAAAAATCAGCTTCAGTTTGTGTTTAATGTATAGAATTTGCTGAATCAAATGTGCTTGTACAAACTGTAGAGACTCCTCAGCAAATAATCTGACCTTTAAATTTCAATTTATACATTAAGTGTTCTATTACATGACTACTTTTCCAATGCAAAGATTTTTTTTTTGTGATTCTCATTTCTCTGTAGAAAATGTGTGTACAGCTCATATTTTATTCTTTTGTTTTTTTGATAACAACTGAGATTTTTCTAAGGCTGTTCTGGTTTCCCTTGTCATTGTCCCCTGCCACTGCCCCCATCATTTTAGCTCCTTATTAATTGTTCACAGGTACAGGAGTTGAGTGTTTGTGATTTGACCATCATACTTCCTGTTTCCTGGAACACTTGGCCTCCTCTTGGGTGAATTAATGGAAAAGTACAAGATGGGTTTGTCACAGAGAGAGCTCCTTGAAAGGCATCTTCACAGCAGAACCATCTCGGCCTTTCCCCAAGGGGACATTTCTCCCCTTGTCAAGTGTTTTCACTCAGCACCTTTCTCACTCCAAGATTAGGAGAGCATTTTCAAAATGGATGGATTTTGATGCAGCTTTGCAAATTTTCATGCAGGTCTATTATCTCCCACCTCCTGAGTGGCGAACTATTGGGTTTCTCGCCGTCAGGTTCGGGCCCAGATCTGCTGAAAGGAGTCCTATTTCTGCAATATTGGTTTTTCATTCATGCTAGAAATACGATTTTTAAGCATGACTAAAAACTGCACTTTACTACTCTCTGTAGACGATGCATGCAGTGATGATTTGGAGCGTTATTCACACAATTCCTCCAGGTAGTTGGCACGGAATTGAGTAAAGGTGGTATTTTACACAGTTACGGTGACGAGGCCGTGGTTTCCTAACAGCGGCCCGCAGCCGCCTCTTTTTCCAGGGTAACGGAACAGGGTAGCTTGGAAGCTGCGAGGAGTCGGGACGCGCCGGTGCTGGGCCTGCGGGGGGCGCGGGGGCGCGCGGCTTCTGCCCTGATCTCCGTCCATCTGACGGTTTGACGACGCGCCCTGCCCTCCACCCTTGGGGAAGCGGGGCGCCCGCGCCCGCGTGGAGACGCCGCCGAGCCCTGCGGGGCGCGGGGGAGGGGCGGCGGGCCATGCGGCGGGTGGCAGGGGACGCGGCGGGCCGGCAGGGCGCACGGGGGGTGGGCTCGGAGGGCTCACGGCCCCTCCCCGCGCAGCCCCCGGCGCGCACCCGCCGCCCGCCTCCCCGCGGCGTCCCGCAGGCTCCGAGCCTGGCGGCCGACCTGGCCCCGGACGTGTTCGCCATGCGGGTGCTGCTGGAGGAGACGGCGGAGCTGTTCCGCGTGACCAACTGCCGCAGCGACATGACCGTGCGGGAGCTCAAGGAGGAGCTGGACCTGCTGGCCGGAATCCCCTTCAACCTCCAGCGGCTGCAGTACCTGGACCAAGGTGGCCCCTGCCAGCCCCGTGCCCCCACGCGGACTCCCTCTACAGGGGCACCCAGGCCCCTTCTTAACCTGCTGACCCCGAAGGGAAGCCTGCCCACATGAGGACCCGAGATGTTGAAACATGACCCCATGCGCTAGAAACCCCAGGTGGAGAGGCAGCACAGGGACTTGAGCACAGAGGGACTTCCAAATCTGGCGAAGAGGACCACATTAGACGTCAGATCTCAAGGCAGACGCTGTCCGCAGCAAGACCCTAATCCTCACATGGGTCCTGCCTATAGTAGGGCTCCAGTCCCAAAGTGAGCTGTCTAGTTGGACCTGCCAACCCTGAACAAATCCTGTCCATGTCAGGAGCCCACATTCCCAAACAGACGCTGCCACAGCAGGATCCCTCAGAGACCCAGACCCTGCAACTCCCCAAGTCTTCATCAGGGACCCGAGTCACAAAGCCAGCAATGCGCATTCCAGGCTGCAAGCCTGAAACAAAGCCTGCCCTCAGCACCCCCCCTCCCCCAGCCCACCGCAAACCTGCTCACGTTAGGGCCCCAAGCTCAAGGCTCCAGGCTCCCTGCTGGACCTGTGGGCACCAGAGCCCTAGGTCCTCCAGCTGGCCATGTCCATGCAACGATGCCAAAGCCCAAAGCATGCTCTGCTTACCCAGGACCCCAAAGCCCAGAACAGACCTGCCCAGGACTGAGCCCCAAGTCTCCAGGTAACCATGACTACCTCAGAACCCCAACTCTTCTGACAACTGTGTCCACTCCAGGATGCTGAAGCTCAGAACAAACCCTGCCCACTTCAGGACCCTATAACCAAGAACAAACCTGCCCAGGACAGAACCCCAAATCCCCTGGCTAACCACGTGGCCACTGGACTCCTAAATCCTCCAGGAGCGGAGTCCACCCAGGGGCACCAAAGCCTGAGACAAGCTCCGTCCACCTCAGGGCCCCGTATCTCTCCACACTGTGTCCATATTTGAATCTCAAACAGACACCTAAATCTCAAAGCAGTTCCTACCCAGATCATGACCCTAAATCCCAGAACCCACTTCTGAGCCCATGATCTCTAACCACTTCGGCATCTAAACCCCAATCCCTGAGTGATTTCTGTCTAGGTAAGGATGCCAGAGCCCAGAATAAACTCTTCCCACATGTGAACCCCAAAATCCAAAGCCAATCCTGCCCACATCTGAAAGCCAGTTCCCAAGCTCACCATGACTACACCAGAACCCCAGTTACAAGCAGTATCTCCAAAGCATGAAACAAACTACCTGCAGTACTCAGGTCAAACCTGTCTACACCACAGAAACCATGTCTACACCAGCACTCCAAGGTTTAAGGCAACGATGTTCATATAAGGAAGCCGAAGTTCAAAACAAGCCTTGCCTACATGAGGACCCCTAAACTCAAAGCAAACTCTGCTTGTATTTGAAACCCAGCTCCCTCTGCCAACCTTATCTATACCAGGACCCCAAATTCTAGGCCAAACCGTGCCAATATCAGAACCCTAATTCTTACAGCAGAGCCGGTTGCCGCTGGGACTCCAAATCCCAGGGTAGACCCGTCCGACTGCTCGTTCCCAGTCGCCACACTGCCCAGGGCTCCACCAGAACCCCTGGTCCCAAAACAAGTCCTGCCCACACGAGGACTCCTCATCCTAGAGTAGACCCTTCCCATGCCAGGACCCCCAAACAGAGAGCAGACTGCCTTCATCAGAGCCCCAAATCTAAGCAAACTCTGCCCTCGTCAGGACCCCAGGTCTCAAACCCTGTCCACATCTGAACCCCCAATACCGGCATTAACCCAGTCCTTATCGAAACCCCAAATCTCAACCCCGTATCCTTGTCCACATCAAGAGCTTAAAGGCCAACTGGGATCCGAACCCAGCTCCCAGAGTTCCCTGTGGCCAAATCCGGGCCCCAAGGCCCCCTATCCAGACAGATACCATGGGGGAGGCCCCGAGGGGAGGGCAAGGGCCCTACAGCCCAGTCTCTCCTTCCCTCACTCTTCCCTCAGCCTGAGGACCTGGTTGTCCCTGTCCTGCTCTTACAGTACTTAGGCTAGGAGAACAGGAGCAAAGCTCCGAAGTCCCACCACCTCCCCACCCGGTTGAAATCAACACAAAAACCCTTCAAGAAAAGGAAGATAGGAAAAGCTCTCAGGGCTGCTGACGCAGAGTGTGAACAGCCGGTACTGCAGAGGGCCTGCAGCTGCACTGCAGGGGCCGGGAGCTGGTGGAGGCGGAGGGATCCGAGCAGCAGGTCTCCACAAGCTGCGTTCCCCGGCCCTGCCCCGCCTGGGCTCAGGGGCCGGCTCTGTAGAGCAAAGCCTTTTGGCTCCAGAATCCTCAGCGCCACTCCCCACGGAGACAGAAAATGACTCGGGAAACTCCAAATGCCTATGGACGGCCAAAATGCCTCCCTTTGCTCTGTGTGGAATAGGTTAAGCATTTTTCATGACATATTTATGTGGCTATAGTAGTATTTGGAAGATGGCTTGGGGCATTTTTGATGCTCTATTTGGGAAGGAATGTATCTGAAACACAGTGTGTATTTAACTAGTTAAAAATGAAGGGAGCTCTTGAAGGACTTTTAAGTAAGAGTTCCAAAACAAGTAATTCGAGAAAATTACATGTCCTGAACCACAAATGTCTGGCATCCCTTCTGTTAATTTATTTTCACTGATGAGCTATTCTGAGCAATAAATTCAAGAAAGCTAAGAGGCAGTGAAAGAGATGGAGTGACTTAACACCGATGTCACAGTCCTATCATTCAGCAAGCACTTAGCAACTGCTAGGAGCCTGCCCTTTCCTATCGCTGTAATCCTTACTGTTGACAGCAAGCGAGAGAGAAGGTGCTGCTGCGTTGATAGAAGAAATTTGGGCTTCTGCCTGTAAATAACCAGCCAACTCCTCTGTACCCCCCTTGCAGGTTGCCAGGGAGGGTCAAATGAGATAATGTGTGTGTAAACCTGAGAGACACAAATCTAAAAGGGGTGAGCAAATTTGAGGATGAGGGTCGCCCTTACCATCTGTTGGCAACTTTAATAATTTATTTAGCTGCTGATAATTAGTATTTGTCTAAGCGAAGGCAGTTGCTGCCTGCCTGTAGAAAGAGAATGTGCTCTGATTTCTGTAGGAGCTGCTCAGCATGTGTGAATTGCACTCTTGTCTTTCTTGGGAAACACAGCTTTACTCAATTTTTTCAAAGTTGTTAGGAAGTCAAGTTGTCTTGCTTAGACTAATTACTGATTATCTTCTGTGTTAGAACCACAAATAAGACCCTAATTAACAGATTTGCTAATCACTATTCCCTGTCTGCATCCACCATCCTGAGTTTCTGGTACCCAAAGGACGCCCACGGAGCCTGGAGTGATGCATGTGGCGCTGGAAGGGAGGCAGGTCTGGCTGGAGTCCTGGTTTTGCTATTTTTTCTAGCCATGCGAGCCTCGGTTTGCTCATCAGCAAATGGGGAAGACAAATCTAGCTTGTCATGAGGACTGAAGAATGTGCACAGCATTACGATGCTTACATTATTATAGGTCTTCAACCCCCAGGGGCTGCTTGGCAGCATCTGGAATCATTTTTGATGGTCCCCCCAGATGTGTGTGCCACTGGCTTCTAGCGGGTGGAGGCCAGGGATGCTGCTGAAACACCCTACAGTGCCCAGGATGGCCCCACAGCAAAGATTGATCCAGTCCAGAGTGTCAATAGCGCCAGGGGTTAGAAATGCTCCTTCAGACTGCAATCTGCAAGATCCAGTGCACATTGGTCATTGTCACCTCTTTAGTCAATTAATGACAACATTGCCAAGAGTTAGTATTTTAGTTTACCATATATAACTTTATAACTGCATGCATGGTGTCTGTAATACATAGTTACTTCAAGTTTACATAGCTCTATTTGCCTCATAAAATGACTACTGACTCATGTATTTTTTTGTAATAGAACAAGTTATAATTACAGAATATTATAAATCCTTGCCTTTATTTTTGGTTTAGCTTCTATTCAAGCTGAGTGAAATTAATTTTTCTAAAAAGCATTAATGACCACA